ATGTATCAACAATATACAACGTTAGCCGACTGTAAAAAGCTTAAGAGATAGGAATGAGAACATACGGTGCGAAAATCTAACAAACAAACCGAGTGCGATTCCCGCGATTCGGCCCGGATGACCTGAGGGTCGGTGGGGCCATGGGTGGTGGTGGGGTAACGTAAACAAAGAGGTCTCACTCACCACACATGGATGTGTAACGTATACTAACCTCACTATAGTAATATATGCAAAAAATAGTTACTAAGGGTCACTGTCACTTTGAGTACAACTAGTTTACTTATGTCATTTTGCAGTCCAGAAGTGACTTGCTAAATTACCCTAATTCATTACATCCCGACATAACCAAGCTCATGAAATAGGCTTTGCTTAAGCGCAAATACTGGTTTTCCATCTATACTTGTATTAAAAATATCTTCATCCCTTATATTCTTTTGGAGAACGCAGAGACAAAATATTTTAACTAGCTGTTGCTCGCGACTTCGTCTACGTGAAATAAAAAATAGTTAAAAAATGTAGCCTATGTTACTCAGCGACATCATCATCCACTTGCCCTTATCCCTTACGGAGGGTCGGCACAGTATGTGCTGCTCTTCCATACATCTCTATCAGCCGTCATATCTGAATCTACTTCTTTCTTAAGCATATCCTCTTTCACACAATCCATACATACTTTCTTCGGTCTTCCTCTTTGTAGCCATCCACATTCACTCTTAACATACCATACCAAACCACGCTAACCTTTTGCTTCTTACTTTCTCCACCACTGGCGTTACTTTCAACTTCCTCTAATATACGCTACATGCAATCACCTTTCATCCGCAACTTAAAAATAGACTCAGCGACAACGTTGTTTGTTAATAGTGAAATAATTTTATTCCAGCCCACTAGTTTTTAATTTATTCCAATCCATACAAAAATACAAATCTTTTCTTTTTTAGTATATATATGAACGTTCATCATCCACTTGCCCTTATCCCTTATGGAGGGTCGGCACAGTATGTGCTGCTCTTCCATACATCTCTATCAGCCGTCATATCTGAATCCACTCCTTTCTTAAGCATATCTTCCTTCACACAATCCATCCATACTTTCTTCGGTCTTCCTCTTCCTTTGTAGCTATCCACATTCAATCTCAACATATATAGTATATATATGAACGTTATGGTATTTATAAAATTCCGAACATGTTTGACGAATTATTGTCGCGTATGTTTTATTTGCAGCCCGAGAATTGTACCACACATCTTCCCGCTTTGTATGCTCCGTGCGTTTGCACTTTACACTTATTTACACTTTACACTTTGATGAATTGTCCCTTTGCTTTGACTTACTACGACTAAACGATCTTGCAACAATACATGTGGAAAAAAATTCAAATACTAACGACATCCTACGAGTTAAGCAAATTTTTGGGATTACGTTTTTATTGATAACCACAATTTTATTAAAGAGAAGTCAACTATACTCGGTTTATTATTTTCAATAATATTATTTTGTATTATGCTTACGAATGTACAAATTATATGTACTAGGTAACATCTTTATTATTGATTTAAAAGTAACCAAGACTTTACGAATTTATTCTTTTATAAATTAAATTGAAACTTTTATAAAAAATATAAGCTTTTTGAATATTTTATTTGGATTCTTCCTTGTTATTTCCCTAAATTATTAATTTTAATGAAATCTGATTACAAGTGGATTTTTGTTATCCTGACCACCTTTCACATTACAAGCGTGATTGTTTACAGTTGCTGGCCATGGTGGCGCTGGCGTCGGCCGAGCAGATGCAATGGGTACCGTACGGGAATCTTCAAGCTTACAATCTACAGGAAGATCAGCAGGTATGAGATTTAGGTTAAAAATAGTTGTGTATCTGAAAATATCAAGATCTAACCATAGAAAAATATTGTTATCTATACTATTATAATAAAGCGTAAACAAACACTTCTTTGTTGCCTAAGATGTCAGCAATTACAGCATATTTTTAAATAATCCTTTTTTTAATAAAAAGCCCTACACTTACGTCACGCTTTAGGCTATATATTTTCACGCCATTAAACTTAGGGGGTAAATATTTCGGATAAAACCATAATGTCGGAAAAAGACCATAAGTTGCTGCCAACATCAAGGAAGCAAGGTTGCCATGGTTTGTCATCATGTCATGTCATTATGACATTTGCAATTGATAATTTGAAATAATAAAATGAAATTTTCTTAGTTTTATGCGGATGAAGTCGCACGGGAACAGCTAGTCTTACTTATAAATGTAAAAATTTGATGGATGGATGTTTGTTAGAGTTTGTAGCCTAAACTGCTGAACGGATTTCAATGATATTTGGCTTAGATGTAGAGGATAGTCTGGAAGAATCTAGGCTACTTGCTTTTGTTTTTTAATTCCAGTCGTTTTTGCAGCAATTTTCAGAATGTTGTTAATAATACTAAAAAGGCAGATTTATCTTATTTAATATTATTTTTCTTATTACATTAAGTGTTTCCCTTTCAATTTGATATCTTTTTCGTTCTTCAGTACTAGTTTGTTTTCACCAAAGAAAATTGCTCGGAACATATATAAATATATTTCTTAACGTTTGATGTTCGCTCGTAAAAGTAAGATTTATATGTGGGAACGTTAAAAATTCAAGAGTGTTGGGTTACCTCCGCGCGTGTAACATATTTCCACACTGATTCCGTAGATATTTATTGTTTAAATCATCTTCCCTACCTTATTCTACTCCCGTAGGGCGCACTATGTTTTCACCCTCCAAATATCATCCGTCATCTCATCACTCCTTGATCATGTCACCTTTCACGCAATCCATCTCTTTCTATGTCTACCTCTACAGGAGAACCACACTCATAACTAACGTCTGTCTTGTTATATACTATTCATCCTTTGAGAGTTTTCATTAATACTCTGTGGTTCTGTATTACAAGAGCCTTCGTAATTTCCATATTATACATGTTAAAAAAACGTGATGGGTTTGTTGTTATATTGTAATTATGTACCATGTAGTCTGAAAGAACACGTAGTTTTAAATAAGCGACGACAGTCGCGATCAAAAACTAAGTTACGTAAATACTAAAAAAAATATGTTCGCTGTTATATTATAATGTTAAAAGAAAGGTGTAATTCCTCCTTCAAACTTCAGTGTTTTATAGGTTTTTTTACATTTACTTAAGGATCTCTAATCTTAAGAAATCGTAATGTTTTTTCCGCTAACAGAAAATAATAAAAGAGCGTAAAGTTAAGGTTACGGCGGCGCACATTTTTTATTATAAAGCATCCAGGTGGATTTCGAGCCTTAATCTTTTCCCTGGCATTACCCTGCCATGGAAATATTGCCGATAGCAGTTATAAAATACGGCTGATATTAAACACACATTTTTTACAGATATTGTTGAATTTAATATTATTATGGATGTTAGAATTTGTAGCCTAAACTGTTGAACGGATCTCGATGAAATTTGACATAGATGTAGAGGATAGTCTGGTAGAAGACATAGGCTACTTACTTTTGTTTTTTACATACCACGTGGACAGAAAGATAGTACTTTATAAGTATGAAACCTATTTTAACACCAGGATATAATTTAAGTTCACCAGTTCGTAAAAACGTTCACGGTAAAACTGTTACCGTTACGCAATCCATTGGATAACAGTTAAAAAATAAACGGTTCAGTTAAAGAGAGTAAAAGCTAACTGCAGTTCGGTTAACTGCCCGTCGCTGCGATGGTTTTTTTTTAACTTTTTAACTGTGTCGTGCAAACGGATGTTAGGTACTAAAATATAAGCGACAGCGGGAGGTGTTAAAAAAATCCAATTTGTTTTTAAATAAAATAAGTTCAATGGTTTTGATAGGCTTAATTTTAACCGATTTTATATTTATTTAGTTAAATTCTAAGGTATTCAAAATGATAGAAAAAGTACATCAACTTGAGCTGGCTTTTTTTAAATAAAAATGAGTTATCGATTGAATTTTTAGTGTTTCTTAACTAGATACTTGTCAAATATTTTTGTAAGCAACAATTTTTTTTTAATTAGAAATGGATATCAAATCATAGGTGAGATCGTGGTCAAGCGCTAGCTTAAAAAGCTTAAAAAATTCATTGTTGTGTAATCAATGTAAAAGTAGAATTCGCTACCGCTTATGCCTTACACCCTTATCCTAATTCGGGAAGCGAAAACGTTAAGTGTACCGAATTGTACAAATTGAAATTTTACAGCGCTAATAATTTTAGACTTTGCTCTAAAGAACATTTTGGTTAAAAAATACCAAAGTGGAATTTTAAAAACATTTCTATGACAATTTCTTTTATGATTTCTATTCCAAATATTTTACGAAATTCAGAGTCATTTTATAGTTACTACAATTGTTAAGTGTAGATTTTTATTTACACTAAGCGGCTAAATTAAGTATTACTTATCGTCTTTGTACAGCAGAAAGACGGGAAAATATAACAGACACTGAGGTCCAAATTCTAAAACGAATCTAAACAAAATCGCGTCGTTGTCGTTTACAATCCGACAGATGTCAATAAACTTACAATTGAAGAATTTGCTATATGTTTAAATATAGTTTTAGAGCATGCGTATATCTTTGACTGAACTATGACGCAACTGTCGTGCGATTGTCGATTGTTTCGCAATTCAACTGTTTAGTCGCACAACTAAAACTCTCGTAACCTTCATATAAGCTCATAGGAATCAAAGCAAGACTAAACAGTTATGCGCTAGTTTAGTCAAATGTGTATTTTTTTAGTATTCTATCGTAATACACTAAAGAAATGAATTGTGGTATTCCAATAAGAGATTCTAATGAGTTATAAAACATTTTTCCAGGTTCAACCAAGCGAGTTCTCAGGAGGCTATAACTTCGGTGATGAAGGCAGTTCTTTAGGAGATCACGGGAGTTCCGGTCATGATTTCGGTGGACAAAGTTACGGCGGCCATGATTTCGGAGGCCATGATCTTAAAGCACATTCATATCCAGTTCATCAACACGTAGAAGAAGAAAATCCTGAACCTGTTAAGCATTACAAAGAGATAGTCGTACCTGTACATAAGAATGTGGAGTTTAAAATCAACCAGCCTGTCTTGATTCCTGTACCGCATCCGGTCCCTATCCAAGTGCCGGTTCCTAAAGCGGTTGTTATACCTATTATTAAAGAGGTATCGATTCCAGTTGAGAAATCGGTTCCCTATCCAGTGGAGAAGACAGTTCATGTACCAAAATTCAAGAGTGTCCCATTCGAGGTTGTGAAACATATTCTTGTTCCAGTGGAGAAACCAATACCTTTCAAAGTTCCTGTATATGAAACGATTATTCATACGAAGAAGGGATCCCATAAGATTTAATTTTTAAGTTGTGTGTGTGTGATTGTTATTGTTATTGTTATTAGTGTGATTGTGTTGTGATTGTTATTTAATTGTTGTTAATAAACTTTGTTATCATATTATTTTTTTTTACAATTCTATTATGGTTTATCATTTTCCGAAAAATATTTTTATATTCTTTTGAAAGAAAATTTAAAAGCTCAAAAGAGGGTCATAATATTACTATGAATAACCATAGAGTACAAAACATAAAGTAAAAATAATTTTAAGTAAAAAGTGTAACTTTTATGCAAGGGGGATAATCACTAAGTAATGCTTTGGCATAAAGGAACTTTGTCTTATAGTTAAAAAAAATAATTACGATATAGTATTCGCATCGCTTTCTGTGTGCTCTAGGTTTATTTCCACAAAAAGGCACGCACCATTTGGCACATTAATGAGTCGCATTGAATCTGCAGCGCCCTCTGGCGCACTGCAAACGCATTTCATATAATTTACGACACGCAGAATGCTTACAAAGTGGAATATACGAGTATTTGATTATTGGATAGTATTGCTCTGTACTTCGACTTTGACTGTTAAAAGACAGGATCTGTTAATCTCTCTTATTTCTCTCCGTCTTCAAGGTACAACAAGATATAAACTAACTTGTTTGTTTGTTTGTTTTTAAAGTTATGTGTTTATAAAGAGTGAAATATGAACAAGATACGCTAATGCGTACTTTAGTGCAATGCTCTTTGCTTAGTCCAAGGCTATGTAGTCAAAAGCTTTTGGTATTTTTACACGAGGGTAGAGTTAGACTTTGCAGTATTGTTATTTAGTTGCTAACGAGTTTAATTTTTTTTTAATCTAAATTTAAACTAAGGGCTTCTTTTAGTTGCAAAGTACCTGTTAGCGGGAATTTTGATAGTAAACTCTATATTTCTGTGCTCTATCTATGGGTTTTAACCGTTCTGCGAAGCATATTCTCGAAAGGTAACCATGGCAACCTTAAAGTTTCATTAGCAACATGAGTCAGGGCTTTGCTACCGTTGGCGCCGATAAGTTGAGTACAGGGCTGTATTCGATGTTTTAATTATTTGTCAAAGGAGGAAAGAAATAACAAAAAGCAATGAAAAAACACGGAAGTGTGTTTTGTAAAAAACATTAAATATGTTGTTTTAACATTTTTTTGTACCTTTAATGTCATGTTATCAGCAACTTATATTAAAAATTAATTTAATCATAAAGTTTTATTTAAATTGATTCAGTATACTAATATGTAAGTTAATGTATAACATAAATCTTACTAACATTATAAATGCGAAAGTTTAGATGGATGGATGGATGTTTGTTAGCGTTTGTAGCCTTAACGGCTGAACGGATCTCCATGAAATTTGGCACAGGTTTAGATCATAGTCTGGAAGAACACATAGCCTACTTTTTATCCCCGGATAAGTTACGGTTCCCGTGGGATTCATTAACATAGTTTTTTAATGTTTACTCGATCATTCAGCAACGGTTCAACACATCTTATTGAAATTTGGCACAGATATAAAACAAAGTCTGGAGTATACATGGGATAAGGTTCATACCCGTGACAGTGGTAGTGCCCGCTTTAACATCTTAGCACGAATGGGTCGGCACGCCCGGTGTAATACCACGACCACACAGAAGATAGGCGTGAAATGAAAGCAATTCCGTGTTTCGTCTGATGAGTGTGGTGCCGGAGGCCTAATTTAAGTCCCTTTCTCTTTACCACCCTTTTCTTATAAGGAGAGGTTGGGAAGAGGAAGTGGATTTGACGGTGGAGGAGAAGCATAGGAAGGGGAAATATCCTCTTTATGTGCGTCTCCTCCTCCGTCGTATAAGGGTAGGCAACGCAAGCTGCAATTGCGGATGTCTATGGGTAGCGGTCGCTTCGCCATTTTGGCGGTTTCAGGTGGCCGCTTGCTCGTTTGCCACCTTATGTTATAAAAAAAAAAAGGTGTCCGGTTCCCAAGGGATACGTTGCTTTTTGTTATTTATGTAGTTCGAATGTTTTCTAATACCACGCGGACGAAGTCGCGGGCAACAGCTGGTGATATTATAATTAGAACTGATTCCGACCCTGTGAGACGCGGAAACTTGAACCGTACATTAATCATAGCTTTTTGACGTCAATTATAAAGGCTCTGAGAATGAAAGTACTTCATATAATGTACTGGTACTATGATGGATACGGTAATGTGGAAAATCGTAGGGTTTCATGACTTTTTGCCCTACTCTAAGGAGGGTAAGGTTTTGTATGGTATGTTTGAATTTACTTGATGACAAATTAATTGCGAATTCTTTCTATACCCGTAGTGGGCCAATGCGGTTGACTATGGCCTAGTCCAGAGATTCTCAACCTTTTTTTTTGTTGAGGTACATGTTTAACGATTTCAACATTTGGCGGACAACAAAGAAAAAGATAAAAATTATTTACTTACTACAATACACTGCATAAATTGTTTATGACAAAAAAATTAAATATACGAAACAAACTAATGTATACTACAATAATAACTAAACGTTTGTTAAGGCATAAAATACAAGCAAATAATAAAAATTTGGCGGCGCACATTTTTTTTTTTTATAACACTAGGTGGCAAACGAGCAAGCGGCCACCTGAAACCGCCAAAATGGCGAAGCGACCGCTGCCCATAGACATCCGCAATTGCAGATGCGTTGCCTACCCTTATACGACGGAGGAGGAGACGCACATAAAGAGAACATTTCCCCTTCCTATGCATCTCCTCCACCGTCAAATCCACTTGCTCTTCCCAACCTCTCCTTAAAAGAAAAGGGTGGTAAAGAGAAAGGGACTTAAATTAGGCCTCCGGTACACACTCATCAGACGAAACACGGAATTGCTTCCATTTCACGCCTGTCTTCTGTGTGGTCGTGGTATTACTGGGGGCGTGCCGGCCCATTCGTGCTAAGATGTTAAAGCGGGCACTACCACTGTTAAACTAATTTAGGTTAGGTTCTGAGCCTTAGTGGGGATGTATAGTGAGCTGGTGATGGTGAATTATGAATGAATGAATGAATATGTATTTATTGCCACAAAATAGAAATTACATAAAAGGATTTATTCTGAAGGAAACACAATCGTGGCAAAAGGTAGCCAGCTCAGCGTATGCAGGACGGAATAATCCGTTCCTGCGCCGATTTTCAGCTGGCTCCTTCGCACTCAAGTAACATATAGTTATTATTTCTTGGGTTTATTGGTTTAAATATTAAAGTATTTACTACATAATAAACATCGATGTTGCAGAGAAATAAAAACAAGTATATAAGTAAAAAAAAATGTCAAAATCTGTTTTAAATATATGTATTGTCAAGAGAGTCTAACAAGTGAATATATTACGATATAAACCAGTCAGTCCCAGTGGGATCGCGTCGCGTTGCGCAGCGTACAGGTAAACGAGTGAGACTCGAAGCGAATTGCCTTATATTTCAAGTTTTCTTATTTCATGATACCTTAGACTATTAAGAAACGGGACTATGCAATTCAAAATAAACAAGTCTTAATTGTCTGCTCGTGTGTTCTTTTCATAATATTCGAGACAGTATGAGTTCATAAAATTACAATCCACATATCTAATTTGCATAGTCCATTTCTTTATAGTCTAAGAATATAATCTTACTGAAAATATAAATGCGTAAGTTTAGATGGATGTTTGTTAGAGTTTGTAAACTAAAATGCTGAACGGATGTCGATGAAATCTGGAAGAATACATAGGCTACTCACTTTTGTGTTTTTTAATTCCACGCGGACGGAGTCGCGGATAAAAGCTAGTAGTACATATAGTATCTTTAACTTGGTGAGAACGCTGGTAATTCACACAAAATCGGAGATTTGTTTTTAAATTTAAATTCTCTCATGAAATTAAATTAATTCTAAAATTTTATTAGACCTTTGGTTTTTGTTATCTATTTTTAGTACTGAGCCGGTTCCATCTTTCTGAATTCGGTAACCGATTTCAGAGTTTTAATTGCCTTGCTTTTGCATTTTTATTGCGACAAAACTCAAGCGCAGTTTCATAGGAAGATTTTTTTCGCAAATAGAAACGGCAAATATCTTTCCGATAGCTATTTGAAAATGGAAATGAATTCATGAGAGAATCTTGATCAAAACGGTTGGAAATTGAGGACGGAAAACTAATATTATCTTATGGCCCGTTACATTCAGTTCTTACTGAATGGACTGTTAAAACTGACGTGTCTAGGCAACATTGCTATTCTCATTGTAAATAGTTAAAACCGAACGTGTACAACGTGTTTTAGGATTGTTGATAGTTTAGATGCCATTATTAAGTCGATTTCCCAGCCACAATTACCCGTTCATAAGTATTTTTAGTTCGCTAACTTCATGAAATGAAGTATGTAACTTAGGTTATACTCCGTTAAAACTTAGGTTAACCTAACACTATTGAGTAACTAAGTAATTTTCAGAAACCTAGCATAAACATTCTTTTCTACTAATGCGACTAACCCTGCTGTCTCTGAGCTAGTGTAAATTTCTTTGGCATTGGTATAGGAACGCAGTAGTGTTAGTGACGCGCGGCTATATTCTTAGTGAAAAAGGGGTTTAAATTCGGTAGTCAAGTTGATTGTATTACGTCATTGATTTTTCTCATAATCTACTTTTCACACGATTCGTTTACTCGTATTTATATAAGGATATCATAATATTATAGTACAATAGTCGAATTAAGTCATAGATTTATACAAAACTAACAATAGATTTTGAAATTCAAATGAATGTATTGTACTTTTTTTATTTCGGACAAGTTTAATAATATTGCTGTTGATGGCAATTAAAAAACAGAGTTTATTTCACCAGTGTGTGTCAAAAAATAAAGAAATTATTCCACCAATTTTATGTATACAGCGCTCTCTTTCTTTCCCTACAACCATTAGTCATTTCTCTTTCTTGTAACGAAGCGATCGAGACGCGACCTTGAAATACTCAAACTCTGATTTATTTAATACTGCCAAAACAAGTTAAGTTAGTTTAATTAACATTAATTAATGATTAATCATAGTAATATTATTAATGCAAAAGTTTAGATGGATGGATGTTTCTTAGAGTTTGTAGCCTAAACTATTAAGCTGATCTTGATGAAAGGTATAGATGTAGAGGATAGTCTGGAAGAACACATAAGCTACTTTTTTATTAACACCAAGCGGACGGGTTCGTGGGTAAAAGCTAGTATTAAATTGCTTGTTTCAATACCAGATTTGACTTCTGTCTGTATTTCTCTACCTTCGATCGACTTATCAGATCCATACACTACGTGACTCGTGGCACGCTCTAATACGTTCCCTTTCATATATTTATATTCAATCCCCGTACATTTGGGCGTCGGCAGAGCGTCTTCGGGCCGAGTGCCGGCTCACGGGATCTGCATACAAATTGCGCACGACTGTGTGGTCATTGCATTGATAAACGGGCGGTTAAAACGCTCGCGTTCAGCGTTTTAGCCGTCCGATATGTTAAATTTTTCTTTTCATTATTCAATATAAAAGTAAATACACTTAAGCATTTAAAACACAGAAAAACTAACAGTTTACTAAAAAAAACGTAAAGGAACGAATACGTCTTTTACATACATTTTAATTAAGTGCGTCTTTTCCATAATTTTTTTCGATATACATTTAGATACATATATGGAAGTGGCTTAGAAAACATGAAAATATATTTTTTTTGCAGATCTTTATCAAATAGTCTCTGATTTAATAGTATTTTGGATAAATTCGTTTACACAAAAGCGTTTATTTATTCATACTAATGTTATAAATAGGATAGATTTGTAGTTTTCTATGTATTGAAATAACTCAAAAACTACTGGGCCGATTTCAAAAATACTTGCACCGTTGAAAAGCTAAGTTATCGCAGAGTATAGGCGACATTTTTTACAATTTATGATTTCACGTAGACGTTGCGAGTGACAGCTTTTAAAACGCTCGTTTGTCAACACCAATATATTTTGATACATCATAACAATACGAGCGTAAATCATTTTTAATTGTTAGTCGCAGTAAAACATCGTCGTTGGACTGAATAGGTCGCTACAGCGATCCTTAGTCCCATATTTAAGATGTGGTCTACAAAATGTGGTGGAGATTTCTAGCGTTTTGTGTTCTAGTATCTCTAGTATTGTTTATACTGATCAGTTGTATATACGGTAGACCAGTTGTACATTTATCTTTAAATAGATGCTGTGACAACGATCAGATATCTTTTGAAAATTTTGGTGATAATGTATTAAGTGAACGTTATATTAACTCGGATGCATTAGCTGTGGAAAATTCGACTTTAATCGCGTTGGATAATATTGAAAAAATGATAGATAATATACGACAATTGGTTAATGTACATAATCCAAGTACTAGAGATTTGTATGACGAGTTAGTTGATGAATTGGTATCGAGTAATGAAGATGGCTTTATAGATACGACAACCGAAGTGACGGATGTGAAACTGTGATTGTATTTTATTGACTGTTTTGATTTACGAGTATGTAACATAATTATTAAAATGTAATATTTCGTAATTCGTTTGTTTGATTACTTTAAAAAAACATTGGTGAGTATTAACTGTGTGAGATTAAAGAGAAGTCTTTGGTCTGTTCTCCAGTTTCGATATTTATATTGCACTAGCTTACGCCCGCGACATTAAAAAAGTGAGTAACCTATGTGTTCTTCCAGATTATCCTCTACGTCCATACCAGATTTAATCGAAATCCGTTCAGCCGTTTAGGCTACAAACTCAAACAAACATCCATCTAAACTTTCGCATTTATAATATTATAATAATATTAAAATTTGAGTTCTTATTTGTCCTTCAAATTAACTTACAAATTATAGGCGCCTGTGAAATTTATATCAGCAATAATTGTTGTATTTATTAATAACGCTTTATTTAACACTAAAAAGACATTTAAGGAATAAAGTAGACATTACACGGATAGCCCACATCTAGACAGGTTACATTTTTTTTAGTTTCACACGGAAAGAAACGCTTGCAATAAGTTTGTTATAAATCTTTGTTTTTATCCTCTGATGATTCTGTAGCTTCTGTATTCTTGTCGATGTTTTTCTTTAATTCTTTATTGCCACTGTAAAAATAAAAAAAAATGCCAATCTTACTTTACAGACATTTTTTTTTTTATAACATAAGATGGCAAACGAGCAAGCGGCCACTTGAATCCACCGAAATGGAAAGCGACCGCTGCCCATAGACATACGCAATTGCAGATGCGTTGCCTACCCTTAATTGACGGAGGAGGAGACGCACATAAAGAGGACATTTCCCCTTCCTATGCGTCTCCTCCATCGTCAAATCCACTTTTCCCATCCTTTCCTCTTAAGAAAAGGGTGGAAAGGGAAAGGGACTAAAAATAGGCCTCCGGCACCACACTCATCAGACGAAACGCGGAATTGCTTCCACTTCACGCCTGTGTCTGTGTGGTCGTGGTATTACACCGGGCGAGCTGGCCCATTCGTGCGATGTTAAAGCGGGCTCTGCCACTGTTAAAATTAAGTAAAAGCAATGTATAAAATAAAGTAATATTACTCGTATTCTTAACTTACATTGAATCAAGCAACATTTTGATTAGATTGTTGAGAGGCGCTTCGACGAACAGCAAGAAAAATAAACTTATGAAGCAAGACAAAGTTAAGTTTCCTAAGAATTTTTCAGTCTGTAAAGAACAAACATAATTATGAACAAGTTTTTTAAAACTCTATCATAGTAAGCAGCGACTCAGAGACATACATAATGGTGTCACCATTTTTTATTTAGTCATAGTTTTTTTTAGATACCTTGGAGGTTTTCAACTTCTGCGCAGCGCGGTGATGACCTTAAGCCGCCATGATATTTGAAAAGAACTATACCTATATACATTAAAGAGCAGTAGATTGTCTTATGTTAAATCTTTTTTGAACTTGTTTATCTGCTGGCTAGTCGCACGTCGTAATGGAATCATTATAACTAGAAGTTAGTAACAAAATAGCCTATGTTACTCACTGATAAAGTTTTTTAAGAATTCAGGAATCAAACCAGTAGTTTTTGAGTTATTACAATCATCATCATCAACTTGCCCTTATCCCTTATGGAGGGTAGGCACAGTATGTGCTGCTCCATACATCTCTATCAGCCGTCATATCTGAATCCACTCCTTTCTTAAGCATATCCTCTTTCACACAATCCATCCATACTTTCTTCGGTCTTCCTCTTTGTAGCCATCCACATTCTTAACACTTTCAGGTTTATGTTCCCATCGTCTCGCATATGTCCATACCACGCTAACCTTTTGCTTCTCAATTTCTCCACCACTGGCGCTACTTGAGTTATTACAATACGTACAAAAATACAAATCTTTCCTCTTTATTAATATAGTTTAGTATGATTTGTAAATACGTAATTAAAAGAGACTCTTCCAGATTCCTATAATAGGGACTACTAAAACTGTCTGTACCATACTTACTAATAAATAACCATTGTAGTGCAGAGGACTTCGCATTGATGTAGAATTATACATTATTGTAACACAATGTATCATATATATCCCATATGTTAGTTTACTAAGCGGCAAGAAGATAGACCATGAGAGAAATTCTTTGATGTACGCTAGAAACAAAAATATTGTATACCTAAGCTATGCACGCGATTCCATCCGTGTGGAGTTTAAAAAAAATACAGAACAGTAAAATTACAAGGGAGAGCGTCGGTGGTTCAGTGGTTTAAGCAGGTAATCTACAGGTCTTGGGTTCGAATCCCGCTGTACCAATGTGATTTTCAATTTTTCGAATTTTCATATGTACATAATTTACCCGACGTTCTTACGGTGAAGGAAAACATCGCGATGCAACCTGCACATATCGGCAAAGTCACCCTAATTTAGTGTAGGCTCCGAACCCCTCGGAGGGGACGTATAGCTGGTGGTGATGATGACGATGATGAAAATTACAAAGCAGTTAAGTGTTAAACGACAGCTGTTCCAACTTCCAACTACAGACGGACCAAGTTCTTTGACCCGGTAGGTCTGTCAATCTACCTGTCAATAATAAAAATTGTCTCAACACGAGATTCTATTGGAACTGTAGCTGTCAAGTCAAGTTTTTTTTAATGCCGTTTTCATATTTGACATTAGTAATCAGGCCAGATATTTCGTTCGTAGACAGTGTATAAAAAACTTACGCAAACTTCCATATTCGCACATAATTATTATTCCGCAATTAAAAAAAGCCCACATAATTCTATGTAAGACAATGTATAACATTACTTGTAGATTGTAACTCCACGTATGTAAATATACGATTGCAGCGATAAATGGCGTAACGTAAACAAATAATTGTTTCTGTAACAAATACACCAAAATATATAAGCACGAGGTATTAGCAATCTAAATTAGTTGCCCATAGACACCTTCAAATTGCGTTGTCGATGCTTTTAACAACAAAGGACATAAAAGATACATAACCGTTCTATAAGTCAAACTTGCCCAACCCCCCTCTATTATTAAAAAAGGGGAGGGAGACTAGAACTAAGCAGGCATGCAGACTTATCAGACGATATTACTTCCACTTGATGTTTGTCTTCAGAAATTAGTGTATTAGAGGAAGTTTGATAGTAAGCCCCAGTGGTAGTGAAGGTAAGGAATAAAAGGTTAGCATTGGGGCATGTTATGAGGGATGAATTGCATGTAACAAGGACGTTAGTTATGAATATACATCGGTAGAGGTAGACCTAGAAAGAGATGGATGGATTGCGGGGAAGGTAACATGATCAAGAAGGGAGTGATGACTGAGATGACGGATGATAGAGTTATGTGGAGGACAAAAATCTGTTGCGCCCTACGGGAGTAGGAGAAGGGGAAGATAATTTTGAAAGATTTATTAAGATATAAACGCACATACCTTTGTAAAGTTATTTCTAAAACCCTTTACTCCGTAATTGTTCATAACATATCCGAGCATCAGGCCCACGAGGTAAGGGCTCGCTCTATTGTGTGTTTGTAAGTATGATGCGAAAAATTTAGAATCTTCTACATTCCTCATTACATTGTATAATCTGTAAAAAAATACTTAATAAGTTTAACAAATCTTTTTACTTTTTATTGTAACGCGCGTTACACACATGACCAGTAAGAGTTGGTTAGTAGCGGTTGATAACTGGACTGGCAATTAACTGACATAGTGTAAACACATCAGTGAGTTCCTACAATTTGTGACTGGCCAAGTATGAACCGAGCATTAATGCGAATGTTTAGTTGGATGGATACATATTTCCACAACAGATCTCAACAATATTTGTCACAGATGGAAAACATAGTCCGAAAGAACACAGATAATTCAATTTTTTTTTATTCCGAGCGGACTTACTAACATTATAAATGTGAAAGTATGGATGGATGGATATTTGTTGGAGTTTGTAGCCTAAACGGCTGGAACGATCTCGATGGAATTTGACAAAGATGTAGAAGATAGTCTGATACAGACAGAAGATAGTCTGAATACAGACTATTTATAATTTTTTTATACGCGGACATAGTAGCAAGCTAAACGAAGATAGCTTCAACTTACTGGAAGTGAAATGGATTATCTCCTAGTTCTGGCGTATTGTACGCTGCTATACCCGGCAGTAGAATACTGAGGCATGCCAAAATACTAAAACAGATCTTTCCTATTCGTGGATGTTTTTGATGTATCCAAAATAATAACGTAGCCAGCAATGTTAACTGGAAATCGCTTGATATATACCAAGATGGAGGATGACACTGAAAAAAATAACGAAGTAAGTAACAGTAGTTTTTTTATATCATAAGGTGTTACTCGAGCACCACCTGAATTCCACCATCGTAATTGCAGAGGCGTTGCCTACAAAAGGAGGAGACGAAAATAACGATATTTAATCAAATCAAATCCACTTTTCCTTCCGATTCTTTTCAGTATAAGAAAATGGTGGGAAGGGAAAGGGACTAAAATTAGGCCTCCTGCATACTCATCAGGCTGTATGCGGAATTGCTTCCACTTCACGCCTGTCTTCTGTGTGGTATTACTGGGGCCGACACATTCGTGCGAAGATGTTAAAACGGACTCCAACAGATAGACAGGTTGATTCCTTTCCTATCGTCCCCTCCCCCACCCAAACCGGACAAAAAAGGAAAAGACTAAGAGAATAATAATTATGCATGGGGCTAGGGGACATTAGTTAGAAGAAAATCAACGAAGTCAATATACAAGCATACTTACAATATTAGTCCTGTCGATATAATTGACCATCATCAGCAAACCTAACCACCAAGTTTTAAGACAAGCTCCTTGTTCATAATCCATATATCTCGAACAAAGCGGACCGCAGCCGAAGCGAGGCAGTATGAAAATTATAGTTACTTGAACAGCTATGTACCACCATATAAGCCTGCAAAAAAAAATAGTAAGGAATAGCTTGGTTTTATTTTAAACTAGCTTTCGCCCGCGACTCCATCCGCGTGGAAAAAAATGAATCAAAATCGAGTAGCTCATGTGTTCTTCGACACTATCCTTTACGTCTATGCCAAATTTAATTGAGATCCATTCATTCGCTTAGGCTACAAACTAACAAACATCCATCCATCCATCCATCTAAACTTTCACATATATAATATTAGTAACATAGGAAAATTGTGACCCTTTTCTTTATCCCCTACTGTGGAGCTATGCGACGGAATTTAAACTAAATATTTATTTACTTTTATTGATATTAAATTCTCAAATAGAGGGATGGAATATGTATGCAATGATCTAGTGTTTCACTGTTTTTTTTAGCTTTTTTAAAATTAGTTTATCGATGTCTGGCTGGCATATATAAATATAATAAAACAGACATATTTTTATGTATATTCTAATAAATAAATAGTACATATGCATACAAAAAAACAAAACCGACTTCCAAACAAAATACACTAAAAACAAAACAAAATGCACTAAAAACAAATCAAAATATTCTCAAAAAAACATTACACTAAAAAGTAACGAAATAGTTACTTGAAAATAGTAAACCTACCTTATTGTAACTGTTATGTCTATATTGTACAATTATTATTACTTT